ACTACTATATATATATATATATATATATATATATATATATATATATATATATATATATATATATATATATATATATATATATATATACATATATATATGTGCACAATGCGTTACTCATAATAATTCTCTATTCTCGGAGTGTAAAATACTTTCCGTCCCAGCAAACAGATCTTCCAAAATAATCCAAAGTTAAGATGAAATATCTTGAAAAATCCATAAATGTAAGGGAGTACATTCATGTACTCATTCATGTATTCATGTAATAATAAAAGATTCATGTAATAATAAACATTCATGTAATAATAAAAGAGTACTTTGAAGTTATACAACTCAGCGAGTAGAATGCAGAGGTTTTCAAGGGATTTACCCTCTGGCAATGCAGCAACTGTTTCCAAAAGTTTAAGAATGTAATTCTCGACAAAGTGTGCAGCTGAAAGAATATCTTGTGAAAGAATATAGAAAATCTTATGGTCTGTAAATCGGAGCAAAGTAACAACTAGAGTCAACAGAAGCCACTTAGAAAGGGTTTAACTGAAGTTACTGAAATTGAAAATTTTTTAGCTGGAGAAGAGTTCACTCATTTTATTCAATCATTTAAACAGTTTTTTAAAATCCTTTTTTTAGACATCGCATAAGTAAAATCGTTGCAAATAATAGCTTACAAACTTCTGCAGAAACAGTTGTATGAATAAGAGCGATAAATACTGCATATTCAATGATGAGCCGATCCGGTAAGCGATAACTTACATCGACACTGTTTGTAATTTCCGAAAAAAGCAACTGCTTTACCTCTGCAACTATGAATGTTCAGGACGGTCCACATTGCGCAGATTTATAACAAGTGAGAAAAATAAAATCTAACTTGGAGACGTCAAATTTTACCATTATGTCCTCTGCTGGCAAATATATCGGAGAACATTTTCACAGCACCCACCAAAGTATGTTCATTCAATCGATTGACTAGACCTCGCAAGGACTTTTTTAATTTTAAATGCTCTTCGGTTTCTAGTAACCCGGCTTTTTGTTCTAATTCATTGAGCTTCTCTTTAGCACATAATTTTGAAGGCAAAAATTCTCCTGTCTTCTTATTGATAAGGCGACCATAAATATCTTCTTCTTCTGAGTTCATATTAATATCTTTTTCATCCTCGCTATTCTCATCCATTTCACTACAACCATCTTGCTGAATCTGAAAACGGTTAATCACTGAAATTATTCTCGAGAATCAATTATGATGATAGGGATCAAAAATGATGTATCAAGACCATAATTAATTATCCATTCACTTCGCCAAAAAACTAACTTCTGGAGATCCTGGCAAGTTTTTTTTTAGGATGGACGTTGTCGAGGCACTACTTTCAACTTTACTTTTACTGCTGTCTTCATCGCTTTCATCGCTCAACATTCCATTATTATACACGTCGGGACAACTCTCTCCATCAACATCGCTATGTTGTTGTGATTTCGAATCACACATCTCGAGAAGATCTATAACAGTAATCGATTTGCATAACATAGACTACACCTAATCTGAACTGAAGGACAACTTTTCAGATTTAGTGTTTCAAACGAGTTTAGATATAATCAAAAACTTATCATAAACATAAATAAAATTTCGAAAAACAAAGTAAAAGTGCAAGAAGTTGTATCTGTTAAGTACACTGAAGCACGTACAATCGAGCCCTTCGATGCGGAATACTTTCGGCATGTTTTTGCTTTTTCGCTTATTATAACCAAGAATTCGCTCATAGCGATGAATTTCGATGTCATCCTCATCAATACCCCGCATAAGTTCTTCTTGTCGCAATTGTTTCATCTGAACAGAAAAGAAAAATTATGATCAGTTGAAAGTTTTCTAAACATTATCACAAACTGAGAGACAAGCATGTATCACTTTGCAATATAATCGGTAATCATGGAACGATTATTAGTTGTGATATAAAATAAAATAGGGCAAATGGAAAGTAAAATGGACTATAACAAACATGCTAAATAAGGTTATTAATCTGCAGTTCCTATATAAACGCATAAAACATCATATTTAATCTCCAACTTCGAGCAAACAATTTACTCATCGAAATGTTTAATCAAACTCGGTTTTGCATAATTAGCATAAGTACACTTACATTTTTCTTTTTACGTCTTTTAACATGCTTTTTCTTGGTTTGTACTATTTCAACAGTATTTTCTTTCTGGCAATCTGTAGGATTTTTTCACTCCCATGATGACATCTTCAACCTGCAAGGAAATAAGTAAAGGATTTATGATGATCGCAAATAAGAATCTACAAAAAGTTCAATAGATAAAAGACGAAGGGGAGGAAGTCAAGGCAAATCAATGCACACAAAAAAAAGAAGCGCTAACCTTTTTATGGGAATTATATGCAACTCGGCGGAATTTTTTGCTTTCTTTTTTACTCTTTCTTATCATTTTCCGTTTACATTCACATAATACATTATCACCAACAGCCATCACGTCCCGAATTTTTTTAGCTAAGCCAATAAGTCTAAAAAAACCTTAATTACTAATTGTTCATTTAACGGTCACTGATAAAAACGCGCATATATACATATATATATATATATATATAGGAATGCATATAAGCATTTGTAGAAGAATTACAAAAAAGTACATAGAAAAGAATATTAAAAGATATAAAAAATTTTTAGAAATGTAAAATATCAAAAATAAGTGATTATTTGATAACCAAAAAACGTCGCCTCACGATGCTGAATGTGGATTTTGTTCGGGATAGATCACTCTTTTTTGCACTAAGCTTATTATAGAGAACGTAATGGAAGGGTCAAAGGGCACGCAATCTTTATTGCATGAATTCTTCGCACTGATCCAACTAAAAACCACCAGCCACACATGAACTATCGCCATGAAGCTAAAGCAAACAATAAGTAGTGCATCACTAAGCCAACTGAAAGTAGAACAGCTTAAAAAAGAAATAAGTACTTCAACTAGGTTTTTCGAAAGTTACTGGCCCAGCCTTGCAGCAAAGTGGAAGTATATGGGGATTCGGGTCGGGTTCCTCTCAGGTTCTTGTACGTCAGGTAGAAGCACCAAAGAACTGCTAAGATAATTCCAATCAAAGCTAATGGAATCGCATGAATCATTCCATGCTTCTATACCTTCTACGTCATATAATTACGGTGAATGACATATGCTAATTACATAACTATACATTAATTATCTTGAAAAAGGCTCAACAGTTTATTAATCAGCTTTAATAGATGAATCTGAAGCACAAGCGTATCTGATATTTACTGAGTCAGGTGAATTAGATACGATAAGTTTGAACCGGTAAATTTGATGTCGACAGGAAAATAACGACAGCTCAGAAGTCACAACCATAGGGATAGTATTTGGTCCTCAATCTCTGCGAATGTTACATACTTTGCTTTATTACGCTATACAAATTTGACACTATCAACTGTCACTAAACAAAAGGCTTGTTCCAAAAAGGATGAGTAAGAGCGGTAAGTTATAATTCCCAAAGAATTTGAAAATCATTAAGGCTTGCTTCTCCTCCCATCCACCACTATTACCATGATACAAACACTGTCGCAAATATGTCAAACACAGGGATGCATGTCACAGCAGATATCATTGTACAGTCATAAGAAAGCATGCAGCGATGGACAAATAAATCCGTGCTATAACAACAATGAGTCCATCAGTTCATATTTCAGTAGTAAATCGGAGAGAATTACGTAAAAATGAATATGAAAAAGCCGCCGCTTCCCTTGCTTTTTTTCATAGACGCACTCTTTAACAAAAATTGCGCCTTATAAGAGCAAGCTAAAATGATTGGTCGTTTTTGTCACAAATGGATCATTGCATCGATTATACACGATTGCTTATAAAAGTTGTTCCATTCATCTTCCTTAAATGAAAATTACTTATTATTTGTTAAGTTAACTGAAAACTTTGACTTGAATCGAAGATTTTAGCAGAGATACGATACTAAGTTGTGGTTTGCATTTTGCATGAAAATTGCGTGCAATCATGCAGAATGACATCTCTTGCCTTCATCTTTTCAGATTAAGCATGTCATTACTAAAGAAAAAAAGTAAATGGAATAAATGAGTCAGACTTTGCTGCAAGCAAGATTGCTAGTTTGTTAGTGGAATCAACAATATATTGTGCGACAATTGCGCAGCATTTTATTCAAACTTTTGCTTAATTTATGCTATTTCAAGCAAAACTTTCAATACTGTTTAGGATTGCTATAATTAGTCAAAGTAAGCTTCTGTTTCCCTTCATTTTATTGTTTTTACTGTATAAAGTAAACGGTGCTGCATGCAAATGTGTGACATATCACCGCTTTTGTAGACATTATTCATACTCATATGCATTCAATAGTATGTATAACTGCTGTCCTTTTCACTTTTTATTATTCTTTTCTATGTTTAATAATTTTTTCACAAGGGTCATTTTTCCTTAAACGACCAATTTGGCCATCTCATCTGTTAACACGATCTCACACTAATACGCTGTGAAATCTCTGAGCATACTGCCTGAAATGCTTCAGTGATTATCAATGTTACCGATGTTTCCTGCTTCTAACATTGGATTGCTATTTTGACAACCATTCTCCAGGTTAAAATTCATTAAATGTTGGGAAAATCCTTTCTCAAATCAATTTCATTTGGTGTATGATTTCCTTCTAAATTGAAAAATTATTTCATATTACTCTCAATATCTATCTCATCTCATCTCATCTGATTTCTGAAATTTCGAAATGATTTAAAATTAAACCTTTCACAGATCTCGGATGAATCATTCAATGATTACTTCGAAATTCAACTTATCCAAATAAAACAATGTGCAAATGTTATGATAGGTGATCATGACGGATTAGTAATCGCCACATTTTTTATACCTATCCATCTTCTTGAATTAACTGTTTCAACTGCAGAATGTTGATGACTGTAGCTATGGTTAATGGTTTCTTCCATGGCAGTGGTTCTGGACAAATCCAGCAATTTTGTCACTTCACTGACAGAGTGATGTTATACCAATTAGCGAATTGATCTGCAAATACCGGCGATCGATATTCGTATCATTTCAAATTAAACTTGATTAGTTAAATTAAGCGAAATGAAATGTTCCCACCAAAAATTTCAATTTTTACAAGTAATTTTTTGATTCTTATTTCACTAATTATATCCAAATTATATTTTTAATAAGCTTGACAAATTCGCTTTTGTTTACTTGCCTGTTAATACCGCGGAAATTCTGTAGCGCAAAAGGGTTTCAACTATCTCATAACTTTACTACCTCGAATTTCATCAAAGATGGGTAATGGTACATTTCGTTTCAGATCCGGAAAATTTACTTTTTGCAAGCACAGATGCAATTAAATGAACCCTCTTTTCGTTTTTACTTAGTGAACTATATCCAATCTTTTCCGTTTCCTGAACTTTGCCAGGACCAGCCTCCACTTTGTAATTGATCTCATCATGTATTTTTGTCATCTGCCCTCTTCTGCGTAGGATGCTTTTGCTCCCACTGCTTCTGTCATTTGTTTGCACTTTTATCTCCCTACTAAATTTCCTATGTAAAAATTTATTTGCTGTCAGAATACCGATAAAACGACCAATTTTAAATAACGTTAAAAGAGAAATCCAAGTAGATAATATTACGGTAATGATATTATGGTAATTTACCGGCATTCTTCATAGATTCAGCCATGTAATACTTTGACTAAATCGTTTTTCCTGAATTAGCTTTCGGAAAATTATGGGAACTTGGAAGTACAAATGATTTGATTGTACTGCCCTGCTTTTAGATGTTAGCAGTTTCAGTTCATTTATGACGTTGGGTACTGTGTTTTTTTTTCTGTTAATGGCTTTCATTGTCTAGTCGGGTATTGTGTAGGTTTTTTTCTCTGTTAATGGCTTTCATTGTCTAGTCTAATTTCACGTTTACTAGCCTAAATTTAGACTTTAGAAAATAATGATCGAATTCAAATTAGGCCTGAGAGAAAAATTTGATAGAAACCGCGAGGAGAAGCAATGAATCAATAATTCCTTGTTATTGATTTGATATCCTTAGGTATTATTTGTTGTATGTGTGGATTTACTGCAATGTGAAATGTAAGCTAACATTGTGCCCTCATTATATCTGTCGCTGATATCGCGAATGGAAACAAAGGAACAATAATTCCCTTTGTTGAAAGCCAGACATCTTTGCTGTATATGCTCATATCGTCTTACCCTCTACCACAATGTGCGCTCCGTGAGGAAGCTAATTCTTGTAATCATGAACGGTACAAGCACTCTCCCACTCGGAGAAACGGAAGGTCCTGAGCGCCAAATCAAAAGATGCGTTTCGATAGGTCGGTAGATTGGAAGGTATCGGGCGTAATTTAAACCTTTTCGTTCTTAGTGTTTTCGTTATTAATTTGTTGTGTCGATGTCGTAACTGCAAGTTCGTTGTTGTATTAATAAATTTGTCGTAATAAAGATTTGATTACTCAAGTTTGAGAGGTAGAAAGAACCCTCAGTTTTTGTCACGGTTGAAGAAAATCGGCGATAGTGCCTATGTGCTAAGCCTAACATTGTGCGTCCATTGTATCTATGTGGTCTAGCAAGGAGATCCATTCAACATGTGCTAATAAAGGCGGCAATTTTTGTAAGCTCAGGACTTGTACCAGAATCCTCAGGAAGTGGAAGGTTATGAATACCAGAAGCATTTTTATATATTTTAACGAGATCGGTTGGATAGAAGACGCCGAGCGTCATTGGGTTTTCTTTTCATATTGTTGTCGTCATTAATTTGTCATATCAAAATTGTAATTGTTGAATTCGTTGTTGTATTAACAAACCTATCGTAATAAAGGTTTAATTAACCTGAATTCGAGTTAACAATTAAAGAGGCCGGAACAATCCTCAGTCTTTGTAACGGTTGGGAAAGAAAAATCAATACCAAGCTCATATATAGAAGTAATCAGGATTTGTAATGTAGCAGTATAACTTGATCAGAATAAAACGCTTTTTGATTCTATCCAAGTGTTATACTTGACAACTTCCAATTTCTCAAGCGACACATTTGAATTTCCCTTGACGCTACCCTATTGCTCTGTGTCCTAGCCATAGACATTTTTTGGAACATTACTGTCTCTGTCTCATGTTGATGAAATAGTATTTCTCTGAAGTATTTATGAGATTTAAAAAAAGACATTTCTGTAAAATTAAACTACAAAATTTCAAGTTACTACCCTCTCCTACGTCATTTTTTTAAGGGATAAATCAAAGATGCAAATTCTTTCCACACAATTTCATCTTCAATAGGAATATTATTTTCCATCGATAGTGACTACTGTATCTGTAATTTTATCAAGGATTCTGAAGATTACGGAAGTAACCTTAGGTAATATCTTTATCTTTTTCTTTTATCTCATTTTTCTCTTCATCCATTTCAAATTTTCTTCTATACTAAGAAACAATTAATTTGATTTATTCACTCGCTTACACTTTCCAAAGTTAGTTTAGCATGCTATCCAGATGTAACCTGAAAGTTGGAGATGTTACAAGTGCTCGATGTTTATTCTTACATAAGCTTATCATTTCCAGAAATTGTAATAATCAATATTATTTAAAGCTGAAATTCATAATCATTAAACTGCACAAATGATCATCATCATACAATTTGCTAAACAAATCACATTTATGAGCCCCAAAAAAAAAAAAAAATCAATATTTAAGAAATAAGTACTGTAATTTTTCTAGAAGTTCTTACTAAATATTCCTTGTATTATTATTAAAGCAATGTGACATCAGTGTGACTTTGAAACAATTAATAATTAAAATTACGAAAGCTATTGGTATTACGATGTATAAATAGGAAGGAAATACGTAAAAGCGATATTTC